AAAAAAAAAAAAAAAAAAAAAAAAAAAAAAACCTATTTAGTCTCTAACTAAGTTTACGAGATTGAGCCATATCATGATCAAAGTTCCATTATTTGAGCACTTTTGTCAAGGAAAAGGTAAAGAAAATGTAACGCACTCTATCTCACTATTAACTAAGTACAATTAGCGGACATACATGAAACAGGAAAAAAAAATCTCTAAGAAGTGGGCTAGACTTTACAGTAGGATAAGGGTAGCAACCCAGCGATGGTTTAATAACAAAGGAATTAATAATCCTCTACAACCTATAATCCCCTTATACGATACCAATCCGGGGGTTTCGCCATCTTCCCTTATTCCATCTGGTGTACAAGATTATTTTTTGATAATGTAAATAATTTTATTGATAATGGGAACCTATATGAATGATATTTTATTGATAAGTAGTACACCAAAAAGTAAAGAACCTATAACATAATATATGATCCTCTATGAATGATAACAAATCTACTATACACATTAAACCTCATGGGTGCACCAAGTTGACTAGTTAATGAGGTTAACTAATTAGAAGTCAAATGTTACTAATTTAATTATCTATATAACTTCTTCATCGAAAACAATTATCTATATAACTTGAATATCAATTACAAACAGACTCAAGTTGTCAAAATTTCCTTGGTTATCTTACGACAAATCTCAAACATGTGTTTAGTCAAATATCATACTACTTGTTAGCTTTGTACGCTTCCATAGTCCTTGCTTTCTAACTATAGTTGTGACCTTAAAACACTAAAATGCTTCGATAAATGCTTATATATCTACCCCGGAAAAGTCTAAATCAGAGTGTAGATAAGACTGGAGCAGAGGCGAAGCTAAGATTTTGAGTATATGGGTTCTGGAATTTAGGTCAGAATAACTTAGTGGGTTCGGACTAGATTATCTACACTTATTAAATATATTTCTTAACATAAATACAGGGTATGAGCCGAAGTTACTGGGTTCGACGGAATCCGTAGCTACACTTGTAGCTCCGCCACTGGACTTGAGGATCTGTAAAAGCTTATTGTAAGTGGTTGTCTGCTAAGTTTTCTTCTCCAAAATCAGAAAAAGGTTCACGAAAATTATTAAAACAGTGTCTTTTCTTCCTTAAGTAGGGAAAGGAAATTAAGGTAATAGCTATAATTTGACGAGATATTTAAGAAACAGCATCAGGAAAACAAAGGAACTCTGGTATTAGTGGTTCGTGTGGATATAGAGTAAACAATCAACCAATCAACCAGGTAACAAAATCAAGCAATACATGATTAGCCAAGTAATCTAACCTCTGGAAGAAGGAACCAGCTTTCCATCTTTTTCATAAAAGTCACGTATTGCCACAAAGGGCTTCCCGTGAATGTCAAGAATCCCGACACTCCTCTTGTCTGACAGCTACACAAGAGGAACCAGCAAACTTAGGGAAAAATAGAATATATACATTCATTTTAAGTTTTAAAACAATTTAAAATCAATTGAGTTAAATTTGGAAAAGGAAGTCACTCATCTGGGGTTCAGTTATACAAGCTATAATTGGGTCAGGCAATAGCACAAAAATGAAAATTGCATAGCATAATGCAAATGTCATGTCTGTGTCCAAGAACTATTGGAATATGTCACAAGCATTTTAACCATATACAAGAAATCCAGCATATCCTTTTGCAAATTCTTTATTCTTTTTCATTTGTTATCCCTTTGATTTGACCAGATATGTTATTTTTCAAGTGCAAAACAGCTAATATAGTAGCTAGAGTTGAGAATGGAAATACAGTGATCATGAGTTGCCGCATGAATCCCTGCAACTACAACCAGCAAATGATATAGGATTCTGCATTCCTATTGCGACTTCATATTCCACTTACAAAATGGGATAGTTACAAGCAAAGCTACTCAACTAGACCAGCAAAGGATACAGGCTTATCCTCGATTTTGTTTCGTCACAAAATTCACCAATAAAAGTTAAGAACTCATCAAATTTGTATTGATAATCTAAGTTGCTCGGACACGGGTACGGGTGCCCGACACAGGTGCGGATCTAGAGGTCGGATCCTTCGAGATGTAAATTCGAAGATTCAGGGATATGGATCCTAGTATAGATACGGGTGTGGGGATCTGACTAAAAATAGTTCAAAAATATAAAAATATCTGTAAATTGTGAGAAATTTTGTGGAATACTTACTTATAGCTTGTAAAGTGTGGATTTCTTTTCTATTCTCAAGTTGTAGATAAGTAAAGTATTGATTTTCTAGATAAGAAATGCTATTTTCTTCAAATTTACCCTAGTTTTGGTTTTGATTTCGGGAATCAAATTGTCTCGTCTCGAATTGTTCCTTCTGTTGCGGTCAAAGTACCCGAAATTATTTAACCAAATCCGGTACGGATCCCATACCTGTACCCGTACTAGTGTCGTGTCAACATCCATTCAACTGAAACTACTCAGCCCCTCTTTCTACTTTTTCCCTAAGACAAAAATCGAGCTTTTTCGTGTTGTACAATGGGCTAAAAAATGTTCACTAATTTTTCACAATAAGGATTTTACTTTGCAAGACTCCATAGATAACAACAACAACAACAACAACAACAACAACAACAAAAAAAAAAAAAAAAAAAAAAAAAAAAAAAAAAAAAAAAAAAAAAAATACAATCC